ATTTTCCAAAAATGGTACTTTCGAGCTACAATTATTGTTCATGAACCTCAGCGCTACTGTTTGACCCTAGTTGGTGCTAGAAGAATGCTACTGAGGTGGTTAAATTATAATGTGTTGATACATATTGATTGTAACATTGACCTGTACGCAAATATGTCTTTGTTATCATATATGTAATTTTAGTGTAAGATCTTTGTTATCGTATATGTAATTTATTTCTAATATTTTTGTTATTTTTTGATGTATTTCTGTACTCTATCTAAATAAATATATCGTTGTTGTTAAAACTTTTCCACAGTCCTTTACATATATGCACCTTCACTATCGGTTCTATTTAAAAACCAGCAGTGATATTCACTTTCACTGTCGTTTGTAACTGAAAACCGACAGTGATGTCCATGCCCCCCTATATAAAATAAACCGTCGGCCACATACATCGATCCTACCCACCCACGAACTCTCATATTTGTTGGGCAACTAGAAATCTACATTCCGATGTCGCATTGGTCTCAAAATTATTCTCAGACTTGCACATGCCACGGGTGAAGGAAACACCAAGTTTAGGATTTTTCGGAGATGGTTTGCTACTTTATGAGGTTTAATTGAATTTCCGCGCAACGACATCGATTAATTATAGGTTGAACTGAGTCTACCCATGAAAAGATCCAAAATGGTGCCAAACTTTTACACAGGGTCTCATGTGCCCTAGGGATCAGAATTTTGTTTAGGTCAATGAAAAAATCTAGTGGGTCAAAGATGTAATTCACCCTCTTTTGTCTCATTCGGCACACAGAAAAATATAATAATAAAAAAATTAACAAAAAAACCTAAGATCTTGTGTGGGGCCTTAATTTGGGTATACATGCTTGCCAAAAAAATTTTAAGCCATTTTGGCATAGGCGGAGTATACATACTTCACAGAGGTACATGAGCCCTTTCATCAAACCATGAGTATACACATATGTTATCAAGGTTTCTGTGGTTCATATGCATTTCGGTGTCGTATTGGTCTTAAACTTTTTTTAGGCTTGTACAAGCCATGGATGGAGAAAACACCAAGTTTAGGATTTTCTAGAGATGGTTTGCTACTTTCTAAGGTTTAATTGAATTTTCACTCAACGTCACCGATTAATTATAGGTTGAACGGAGTCTACCCACCAAAAGATCTGGAATGGTGCCAAACTTTTACATAGGCTCTCATGTGCCTAGGGATAAGAATTTTGTGGAGGTCAATGAAAAAATCTATTGGGTCCAAGATAAAATTCACCCTCTTTTGTCTCATTCAACATACAGAAAAATATAATAAATAAAAAACTAATCAGAAAAATTTAAGATCCTATGTGGGGTCTTACTTTAGGTGTACATGCTTGCCAAAAAAAATTTAAGCCATTTCGACATAGGAATACACATGCTTCTATTTATTAAATATATAAAAGGAATTTTTTATATATAAAAACAACACTGTCGGTTTCAAAAAACTGGCAGTGATGAGACGAAATCGACAGTGATGTTGGTTATCACTGTCGGTTCATTTTGAAAACTGGTAGTGATTTATAAAAAATTTAAAAAAATTATGCCAGCCCTTGGGTTCGAGCTCGGGTCCCGGAGACCAGAGTTCTGAGTCTTAACCGCTGCGCTAGTATAGGAGATGTGTCAAGGCGCATTTTATTTTTTCTTTTTGACCTTTTAGAGCGCTTAATAATTTATAAAATTAAACCAAAAAAATTGGGTTGCCTGGCACTCGGACACGTGTCTCGGGGGCTTTATTGCGCGGTCTTAAACGTTGCGCCAGTTGGAGGATTTCGAAAGAAAGGGAAAAGATATGCTATTTAACCCGTAACCGCTGCACCCCCATCACTATCGGGTCCAAAAATGCGGCAGTGATGTTGCCTCATCACTATCGGTTTAGACCTTGCAACCGGCAGTGATGAGCCATTGGGATAAAAACAAGGCACGGGGTGAAATTTTCCAAAGTCATTTCAACCTCGCGCCAACCCCTCCCCCACCGTCGGAGCACCACCCCGCGCCGACGGGCACCACCGCCCCCTGCGCACTCGCCCACCGCCCCCCGTGCTGTCGTTCCCAGTCCCGCACTCCTCTTCTTCGACGCCGACGCCTGTGTGTCCCCTCGATGCATCCCCGTTAGTCCCACGCCAGCGCCCACGACGTCGTCCACCTCCCCATGCCAGAGCACCACGTCGTCCGTGCCCTCGGTCCTCGTCCATGACGTCGGCCGTGCCCCTCCTCCTCCACGCCTGCACTCCCACCGTCGAGGCCTTTAGGAGCGCACGGACAGCTGCTTCCCCACCCCCCACGGTGAGTGTGTGGCTCACTGCCCGCTATGTGTTTGATGAAATGCCCGTTAGGTTAGCCAACGCCAACCTGGGCTCTACCCCCCACCCTTCCTTCTTGCATACGAGCTTCAATTGCATATGAGCTTCAATTGCATACGAGGGTAGATTGTGGTGGAATGAATTGTGCATGTTTTCATACCGTGGTGTGAATTGGAAGTAATAGTTTGTTAAACTTTGTTGCCCGGTTAACATGCACCGGAATTCGGGTATGGCAGTTAAATCAAAGCCGCTTGGTATAATATAGAAGGTGTAAAATTGCAGTACATGTATTAATTTGCAACAGCGTGTGTTATCTCGTGATGGTTTTGTTGATGTTGTATCCTAGTTGATGTCATCAGAAGACTGGATAGGAACTGGTTTTGTGCCTTTTTGTGACTTGGGTGACCACTTGCAATGAGTTTGTTTTCTGTGTAGCTTCCCCAACTAGGTTCCATCTCAATTTTTGGAATTGCTCCATCATTTTGGTGTTTGTGTTTGATGCTAAGTTTCTGTTCTCTTTATTTTTGCATATGCTATTAGTAGTTGTCCACGGCCAAAACTAACCACGATCGTGTCACAGCCATGACTCGTCATCGCCTGTTACCCCGTCGTCGAAGAACAGATCGACAATAAGAAGCGGCTAATATCGTTGGACAGGAGAGCCGCATGATCCGACAAACGGTGACGATGTCAATTAGGACGGTGAGAACGAGCAGCCATGGACCCCGTCCGGCTTGCTCGAGCTGGGTCAAAATAATCAAGATGGCCAGGTAACTTTGGTACCATGTGACTAATCAATTGAGAGGGTCATAGCTTACTTGAAGTCTCCAGCAGGAGCCTCCGCCGACCGAGTAGCTAGAGGGTTCGGGTAGCAGGAAGGCAAGATCCAAGCGAGGCATGTCAAAGCTTTCTGTTGGTAGGAATGCACACTGGCACATCACTGAGTTTGATGAATTCGGGGATCCACTCTCCACTAGTACAGTTTATCCTTTCGTAGGCAGCGGTGACAACCTTTGTGATCAAACGTGGAGATGTCTGGGTTTTAGGCATCGTACGTCTCAACTTGCTCGGAAACTTCTAAATTTTTTACCACAACCTCTACATGCGATGACACGACACCTCGACAAGTTTCGTGATTTTTGGACTTCGTTTGCATTTTATATAATTAAAAAACACTTTTTTAATAAGTTGGTCGGTCATGTTTCGTGAAACAGATGTTCAAAATTTCACGAATGTCCCTGCACACGGCCTCAAAATACACTAAAAAACATGAATACCATTTTTTTAATCGCTAAATTCTAATATTTCATGCACCTGCGGTTCAAATTTACTTTTTCGAGAAAAATTCAAGTAAACATAAAAAATTTAAAAAATATACCAAAAAGTCATAGAAAAGTTCCAAATTGGAACATGTGCTTCAAGGTACTGTATAAATGCCACAGAAAAAATTTGAAAACAAAAAAAAACTTTGCCGAGTGTCGGAATTGGCACTCGGCAAAGGAACCTCTTTGCCGAGTGCCAAGACAGACACTCGGCAAAGACAGCACGTTTGCCGAGTGCTAACGGCTAGCACTCGGCAAAGGATGACACCGGCGTCGCCTGAGGTATTTTGTCGAGGGTTATTCTTTGCCGAGTGCCTGACACTCGGCAAAGAGGACATTTGCCGAGTGTTTGGCACTCGGCAAAGACGGCCTTTGCCGAGTGCCGGATTTGCCGAGTGCGGCACTCGGTAAACTGCCTCTTTACCGAGTGCCCGTGTTTCGACACTCAGCAAAGCTCAGAGCACTCGGCAAATAGCGCGCCTCCCGTAGTGGCAGCGGTGACAACCTCTGTGCAACCAGTAATGATGACAAATGTAGGAGTATGCAGGACATTTCTCGGAGGGAGTATGATGGTAACAGAACACAGTTTAGTACATAGAAAAAAAATAGCGGGCTTGCCGCTATAGCGACAAGAGAGATTTAACGCTAAGTTATTTCTATTTGTGCCGCTATGCCAACTTTAACTGCTATTGTGTGCTATAGCCCTACTAATTGCATAGCCTTAGCGTTCTAATGGCGGTGCTATTTCAGATTTTGCCATCACTAATAGATTTTGATAATTTAATTTGTTATTTTCTACTTATCATTTGCTACTAATTTGGTTTTTTGGATAATTAAACGTTGGAATTTCATGTACCATGTTGTAATGTCATATTAGTAATGTTAGCTAGACTTGTGGAACCTTAGAAACATTTTTTTGTTTATCAAATTTCATATTTACCATTTTTTTCATCAATTATTGGTGTTTTTCATGTTTTCTTTATAAAAATGCTATCTGTCGTAGCGCCGCTATAGCCTCGTAGCTGTTGAAAAAAAGTTGTCGCTATTTTCAATAGCCCCGCTATTTAAAACTATGGTTTAGTATTTAAAATAAAAGTTACCATATGGAAAATACTTCATTATTATTAGGTCTCTGGCTCTGGATAGCTAACCAACTAATCATGTTGCAACAACATCTAAAGGATACATTATTCAGAGCACACAGCATGGAAATAGCGATGGCAATGCCGTTCACGGATAAACCTCTATAACCGAGTGAATTCCTACTGATGAAACAACTTTGTAGGCACTGAATCCAGCTTCCAGGATGATCTTTTCCCACCCACGCTCGTCTCGTTCGACCCCGTCAATGTGCATCATGTGGACATCGTACAAGGCCTGTGTCTCCTTTGTTGGATGCAGATGCAGGACCAGCTCCCATCACAGCGTCAATGATTATCACCTTTCCTCCAGCCCCTCCTCCTCCTGCAGGGATAGCTTCCTTGCACTTTCGCAGCGCCTTGACGCAGTTATGGTCACCCCAGCAATGTAAAACCCACTGCAACATACATATATACTGATACAGATATACACTCAAATTCTTCTATTATTCACTGGTCACTATTGAATCAAATACTATATATATGTACTACTGATGTAAGTATGAAATATGTACAAGTACTCAACAAGTATCTGCAAATTAGCATCTTGAGGAAGTCCCATCGTACAAGAAATAAATAAAGAGTACCTTGAGTAAGACCGCATCAGCTTTTGGAATGAAGTCGAACATGTCACCGGCGATGAACTCCACCGCCGTGCCACCATCAGCGCGCGCCTGGCTGACAACGTGAGGGAGGTCAAGGACGCTGCACTTGACGTGAGGGAAGGCCGCCGCGATGGCCACCGACGCCGCGCCATGCCCGCCGCCGACATCGACCAAAGAGCTCAGCCCGCCGAAGATGTCGCGACCAGCATCCTCCGTGAGGATGATCTCCATGGTGATCTGGCTGGCCGCGACCATGGCGCTGTTGTACAGGGCATTGTGGTCCGCGTCCTTCCTCGTCATCTCGTACACGCTGCAGCCATGCACCATCTCGAAGAAAGTCGTCGAGCTGGTGCCGGCGTCGGCGGCCTGCTCGTCCGCCTTCAACCACGCGTGCATGTCGAAGAAGGTGGGGACGGTGAGAGGGTTTACCAGGAAACGAATCAGGGGCGCCATGCTTCCAAGCTTGTTACTGTCGACGAGGAGGCGGGACATCGGTGTCAGCTGGTACTGGAACACCACGGCCGCCTCGCCGCCGTTGCTAGCGGCGGCGCTGGCCGGTGGCGGCGTGGCGGCCTCCGATGAAGCGAAGACACCCGAGGCGGTGAGCAGGTTCATGAGCCTGCGCACGTGAGGCTTCTTGGACGCATGGGCCCCGGTGCCGGCGATGATCTCTGACAGCGTTGCACAGCCGCCGTGTAGGTGGATGGCGTTGGGGATTCCTAGATCTACTGCGCACTTGAGCACCATGGACTTCACAAAGCCGAGGCTGTGGTGGAAGAGCTCCAGCTGAGCGCGGTTCAGATCCTCGGAGCTCATTGCATCCATGTTGCCAAGCGATGCAGGAGGGTGCAAATGGTTATCGGAGGGTGCAAATGGTTATCGGTACTGCTGGTCTATATATAGAAGTACTCCCAACGTTCAAGTTGCCAGTGTGTTCAACTTTATGGAATCTGTTGCACGCTAATTAATTACAGCCTTTCAAGTTTTTAGCACTAGCTTTACACATGATTTTTTTTGGGAAAACACTTTGCACATGAATTTAGGCCGCATAGGAATAGAAAATTAGGAATTGACTGATGACGACCTTGACTCCTCGCTTTCTCTCTACATGCATGCGTCCAGCAGCATGCTGTCACGTACATTGAGAAGAAGCGACTCCGCTAACGGAAGCGTTCATACTGTACATATGCCAATCCTATAGCTAGGCTAAGAGCTTCCTTTGATTATCACTTCTAGCATTCATCCATCCATCGTATACTGCTCAGAGTACAATAAACGCAGGGATTGGCATTTGGAGGAAAAGGACACAAAATATGGCATGAGTTTGACCGAACTCCTTCTAAGGTCCGTTTTTTTTTTGAAATTTTGTCCATAATTTATTTTAATTTTTTGTTTATTTAAAGATATTCACGCGTGCATAGTTTACTCTTAAACATATATATTTTGTAAAAATATATCACCACTACAAAGAGGAGACAAACGAAACAATAACAAAAAATAGCAAAACATTAAATCCCATAAAGCACTAGTACAACCAAGCTTTAAGAGGCGAGTGAATTAGGTTTTTAGAACCGGCCATAGTGACCGTCTCTATCATTGGGTTACTGTTAATGCAACAACAATAGAGGCAGGCAAACTGCCCATCTCTATAAATGGAGGAAAAAACAATAAAAACGATAGCGCAGCACAACCGCCAGCTAGGCCTGCTTGTTCGGGCTTCAAGCCCACCATTCATGCATCTGGGCCGTTGCCTCTAGTGCATCTGATGTTGAGGTCATCGCTCGCCTCCTTCTCCGTCTTCGACTGTGCACATCCATCGCCTTGGGATACCAAATCAGAGCACATCAGTAGGCAATCAACTAGAATGGCCACACATGGAACAACTAGGGCAGAGGAGTCACGTGGTGAAGCGACCCACACCACTCGGAGCCGAGGCCTGCTTGATGTGCTGCCTCTCTAAATATGACCAGTGCGAGGGCAGGGGACACTGCACAAAGGCTAGCTCGCCACGCCACCATTGTATCCCAGCCAAGAGCGGGCCCTGGTGCCATCTGCTAGATCTACTTGACGCAGATGGAGTCTGTCGCCCTGCCATCACTTCCGTTGTGTAGCCAGAGGAAGGGGCGACCACTGGGGAGGAATATTGATGATGGCCATGTGGGTATGTGTGGGCATAGCGTCAGCTGGTGCAGTGGATCCTAATGGGAGAGCATCGGGATGGGAAAGGGTCGGTGGATCAGGGTCGGTGAAATTTCGACCGTGTTGGTGTCGGAACACGCCGAGCCACGCGCATGAAAAGTGTTTTTAAATTTTATAAAATCGAAACGTAGTCCGAAAATGACGAAACTTGACGACGTGTCTTGTCATCGCATGAGGAGGCTGTGGTAAAAATTTGAGAAAGTTTCGAGCAAGTGGCGACGTCGGGTGACTAAAACCTGGACATCTCGGCGTGTTCCGACACCAACACGGTCGAAATTTCACGCGAGGCCCCGCACACGGCCTCAACATACTCCAAACATCATGAATATCATTTTCTGAATCGCCGGATTCCATTATTTCATGTACCTGCAGTTCAAATCTGGAGCTGCCGGAAAAAATCAAAGAAACAGAAAAAATCAATGGAATATAGCAAAATAAATCAAAATGACCCCAAACTTGGAATATATCATGTACTTACTGTAGCAAGGCAACACAAAAAAACTGGGATCGAAAATCGAAAAAAAAAATTAATTCTTTGCCGACTGCCATCAGTGGCAGTTGGCAAAGAGCCTTTGCCGACTGCCAGGGAGGATGGCAGTCGGCAAAGAATTTCTGAGAAAAAAATCAAAAATAACCTTTGCCGACTGCCAGGGAGCAGAGCAGTCGGCAAAGTATTTTTAAAAAAAATTAAAAAAAATAATTTTTTGAAAAAAAAATAATAGACCTTTGCTTGCATACGTCACATCTTGTGATCGGCAAAGGAAAAAAAAAAAAAAAAAACGTCGCCTTATTAGCTCGGCCCGCCCTCCCTCCCAAAATCCCGCCCCCGCCGCCACCAGGCCACCCAGCGTCGTCGGCCGCCCGTCGCCCGACGCCAGCCAGCCCATCCCAGCCTCCCGCCCTCCTCCCTCTCTCCCAGCCGTGATCCCGTCCTCCTCCTCCCCTGGCCACAGCCTCCCCCCCGTGCCTGGCGCCCTCCCACAAGGCAAGCCCTCCCATGGCGCCCCCCCCAGCTGGTCCCTCCCGGTGGCCTTGGCCCCTCCCATGGCCAGCCCCCCCAAGGCCCCCCACCCCCCATGTTGGTCCCTCCCCGTGGCCCCGCCCTCCCAGGCGCCTCCCTCCCCCCCCCCCCCCCATGTTGGTCCCTTCCCGTGGCCATCCATCCCGTGGCGCCCCCCCCCCCCCCCCAGCTTGGCCACCCCCTTGGCGTCCCCCCCCCGTGCCCCCCCCCATGTTGGGCCCCTCCAGCGCCCGGCCCCCCCAGAGCCCCTCCCGCGTGCCCCCGATCCGGCCCGCCGGCAGCGCCAGCGTCTGACTCCGGCGTCGGCCATGAATGACAGCGGCCTCGCCCGACCATTCCGCCGGCGCCGTCGCTGCCCCGCCCCGATCCGGCGTGCCCCGCTCCGTCCGCCGTCCGCCGTCCGCCCGACCTGCGTCGCCCGACCCGCCCGACCTGTGTTTTCAATGCGACCGAGACGCCGCGGTGGGCGAAAATCAACGAGTACACCGCGTACCTCCTCTCTCACAAGGGCAAGGCGACGGATCCGAACAACGTCTACAACCCGGAGGACGGGCCCGATCGTACACCAACCCCACCGCCTACGAAGGCCCCCGAGTACACCGTCGCGGCTCGCCCGGCCTTCTGGGATATCGTTCGACCCCACCGCCGAGCCCCAGACCTGAGACCTCCTGCGAGAGGTTGGGACCGAAGGCGACGGCAACCGCTACTACATAGCCCACAAGCACCCTCGACCCGTCCCGAGTTCCTCTGGCGACCCGAGTTCGATCCACGCCCACGAGCTCCAGGCGACATCCCGTAGCGCCCGGCGGCGATCGGCGTCACGGTAAGTGCCGTTTCGTTCGTCGTTCACTCGTTTCACACACCACATACAATCAACACTGCGGATGTAATATTGCGAGCCCGGATGGAGGCCAAGATGGAGGAGAGGATCGCCACGTTGCACGCATGCAGATGATGGCGCAATGAGATGGCTTACCAGCAAAAAACTGCGGCACTACAACACTCGGATGCGAGAACATGGCCGCTTCTTCCGGTCCATGCGAGCGCGGGCGTCTACACCGCCTCCTCTTCAATGTTCGCTCCACCGCCTCCTCCTCCGAGTTTTTCTGTGCTGCTCTGCACCGCTCTGGAGGGACCCGGTGAGTATATTGACTCTTGCTTTAACTTGTGCGTCCATCTTTGCGAGATACTAATGACATCACTTGGCGTTTAACTTGTGCGAGTACGATCGGCGGGTTCGAACCCGTCTCACGGAGGTCCCGCCATCGATGATGTCGTATCCACCACTGCACCTATCCACCGTATCCACCTCCGCGTGGCCCTCCTCCGACGTACTTTCGTGGCCGCCGGTCTTGCGGAGGGTGGCGATCTGTATGCGAGCGCCTCGATTTGGTCCAAGGGGTTTTCCGTGGGCAAACCACAGGGGCTCTGGGGCGGAGCGGGACGACGAGATCGGGGGGCAGCGCGACGAGCTAGGTATTTGTCGATTACATTATCATGTATCCACCGTATCGTCGAAGTTGTTGTCATGTATTTCTTTTCTTCGTTATGGACCTAGACTTGTTATGTTGAACTTACGTGTGATGGACGTCGACTTGTGGTGTTCGACGTGTTGGACTTCATGTGATGGTTGTAATGCACTTGTGTGGTTGTTATTGTGACATATATGTGAGATATATGTGATGTTGTGCGTTATTGTGATATATGTGGTGATGTTGGCGACAAATATGATGAAATTGTGATATAAATGGTGCTACTAGGGTGCTTACGGTGAAATTGGATTATAATTTGTGATTTTGCGGGGTTTTGATGCGAGAAAACAAAAACAAAAGCAAAAAAAAATTTCCGACTTCGATCGGCAAAAGTGGGCAAAAAACCCAGGGACGAGTCTTTGCCGATCTGCAATGGGAGGCGATCGGCAAAGAGGTCAAACCTTTGCCGATTGCAACTCAGCGATCGGCAAAAAACATTTCATTTCAAAAAATATTTTCTTTCTTTGCCGACCGCCGAAGTGGCGGCGATCGTAAAACAATTTTTGAAAAAAAATTCTTTGCCGATTGCTTTAGAACCAACCAAGATCGGCAAAAGTCTGCCGTCGGTGACGGCGCCACGCGTAACTATCTTGACCATCTGGCGTGGCGGTTGGCAAAAGGCTTTGCCGATCAGTGCCATGTGGCGGTCGGCAAATCCGCCTTTCTTGACCCAGGCTTTGCCATTGCTCTTCTTGCCGCGCCACACGTGGCTTTGCGGTCGGCAAAGCCTTTGCCGACTGGGTTTATGCCTTTGCCGACCGGGGCAAGCAGTCGGCAAAGAGGCGTTTTCCTGTAGTGTAGTATTAACTGGTTTCACAAAAAAAAAGAGAAATTAAGGTCTCATGCTGGTGATGAACACCTTCTAACATTGATGACATTTTTTTAAGAAACTATTTTTTCTCTCTCTTTGTTGATTTCAATATCACGTCATCATTTTACTTAATTGATCGACGCCCTAATCGATGTCATTCCTATTCAACACAGTGGACTGCCCTAACAAAATTAACCCACTCAACCAGGCCAGCTACCCGAGCTGTGCCGATTTTTTTTTTTAATTTTAACACTTTTTTTAA